ACCATGACCGCAGAGAGGAACATGGGGGGGCGGGGGGGAGAATGCGGAATCTGGGTGAGAGGGTGTCACGGTTAACTGGCCAACTGTTGGAGGCCCCCTGGGAGAGACTATTCTCCTAGCCACTATTCTTACCCTTCCTTTGCCCTGCTAACCTGTCAAGCTTTAATGTTCACACTGTAAAAATTAAAAGTAGACTTTACTCTAAAACTTTGGACCTAAACTGTTTATGTTCTGTGCTTAGGAAAATGTAAACTTTTAGTGATTTTTTTTAAAAGTTAGGTACACTTGACCTTTCTCAGTGTTTCAAGGGTGACATGTTACTGTCCTCATATGCTGAGGTGGAGAATGCCCTTGGAAATAGGGTGTAAGGTGAGCCTATCTAAAGCTCTTGACTCATTAAATGAATGTTGGAAGTAAATGCCTGCCTGAAAAATTCTATTTAGAATTAGCTTCTGTTCAAATTAGATCCTAAATTCTTAGTTGCTGTGATGTTATAAAGTTGGAGGGAGAGGGCTTTTCAAAAGCTGTCCAGGTTTGGATGCCTCTTTGTGAAAACTAAGAAAAGTTGAATACAAAGCAAGAATTTACCATATTTTCCCGGACTGTTTGCTACCATCCTACTTTAGGGTTTCTCACCTCACTTCTAAATATGGTACTAACTTGCATAAGGAGACCCTGAGTGCTGCAAACAATTAGGATATTTGCAACTAACTAAAGATTAGAGGTGCCTTGAAAGAAAGGCCTGGTGATATTTCTGGAAAAAATCAGCCATTGAAAACTCTGTATCATAATTCTACTCTGATACACATAGAGTTTCCTTGAGTAGGAATCTACCAGGTAATTGTTAAGTTGAGGTAACTAACTAGCTTAAGAATCTCTTTACCTTAGTAAAGGCCATTCGTAACCTAATTGTAATTTAGCTATTAAATTTTTATTTCATATTATTGTATTCCTCCACAAAAACCCTCTTCCAAATCCTCAGAGAATTTATAATGTATCTAGACTGTGTATAAAACGGAATGTTAATTACATGCAAAATTCAAAGTAAAGTACTAATGAAATTCAGAAAAGGAAAAATTGTTTGTCCTGGAGTCAGTAAGACACTCAGAGAAGTATGTAGGACATAAACTGGATTATTAAGATGGATAGGATTTCCCTATGCATGCCTCCATTTCCCTCCCCACCCAACCCCCCACAATTTTTTATATCCTGAACCTTTTTTTTTCTTTTTTTCCTTTTTGAGCCCTGGTTTGGCCCTGTGGGTGCAATGTCTGTTCGAACTGCAAGGTCAGTGGTTCAAGCTCACTAACTGCTCCTCAGAAACCCCCATACTGAGTCATTATGGGTCAGAACCGACTCAATGGCACTTAACAACAACAACAAACATTTTTATATAAAAAAATAGGATCAAAGAGTTCAGTATTTAGCCATAGTCCTATCACTTTAAGAATTGTTAATATTTTACCATATTTGTTGTATTTATTTTAGTGTGTACACATACATATGTATTTTATTGTTTTGGGCAGAAGCATTTAAAAATTAAATTGTAGACATTAAGACACTTTGCATACATATCCTATAAGGACATTTTCATATAAAATTATGATACTTTTTACCACACCTAAGAAAAGTCACAACTATTCTCTGTTCTTTAATATCCAGTCAATATTTGCATTCCTTCTGGAAATACCTATTGTGTATAGTTTCTTTGTTTTTAATCCTTAATCTTATATTATTCTAAATCTGTTTCTTCACTTTTATAATTATTTTTGCAATAATATTGTTTGTTTATTGTTTAAACAAAGAGTGCACAATGTCTTGAAGAATGCCCAGCTTCTGGACTGTCTTGTAGCGATAATATAATCTGTGCCTTTATCCCTTGAGTCTTAATAATATAGTGCAGGTATAACAATACTAAAGTGGATGGATTTAACAGAAAGGTATTCTCTCATAGTATAAGAGTCTGGATGTCCATTTCAGGAGGCCGGCTTTAGGGAAAGGCTCTCTATTTCTTTTGGCTCAGGGGAAGGCCTTTATCTCCTTTCAACATCTGTAGGCCTGGTATTCCTTGGAGATCTCCATGTGTCTTGGCATCACTCTTCCTCTGGGTCCTGGCAGTTCCCAGCACATGGACCCCAGGTCTAAAGGACAGAACATTCAGCTTCTAGATCTTCTTTCTTGATGGTGGTAGTTCCCTTTTTCTCCCTAGTCTCTCTCTCCTTTTATCTCTTGTGAGATAAAAGTGTTGTAAATCACAGCCCGGGAAACTCTCCTTACATAGGATCCTGGCTGTGATGCAATTCAGGGTGTTGCACTCCACCCTTAATCCTCCTACAACCAAAGGGTGTATCAAATTATATTATATGGGGGATAATTACATAATTGCCAAATCTCTGAGAATCTTGGCCTAGTTAAGTTAACACACATTTTGGGAAGGTACAGTTCAATGCATGACACCTTGTATTTCCTACAAATTTAAATTATTAGACACTTAGTCCTGTTGCCATAGAGTCAATTCCGACTCATGGTGACCCTGTAAGACAAACTAGAACTGCTCTGTAGGGGTCCCAAGGCTGTGCATCTTTATGGAAGCAGACTGCCATATCTTTCTTCCTTGGAGTGGCAAGTGGTTAACTTTTGTTTAGCAGCTCAATGCTTAACCCACTATGCCACCAGCGCTTCTTACTACACTCCTCTTGTTGCTATTTCTATTGGGTGCTGCCCAGTGCATTCCAACTCATAGTGACCCTATGCAAAACAGAATGAAACAATGCCTGATTTTGTACAATACTCACAATTGTTATGCTTGAGCCCATTTCTGCTACCACTGTGATAATCCATCTCATTGGGAGTCTTCCTTTTTTTTTTTGCTGACCCTCCATGTTACCAAGAGTAATATCCTTTTCCAGGGACTGGTTCCTCTTGATAACATATCCAAAATATGAGAGATGAATTTTTGCCATACTGGCTTCTAAGGAGCATTCTTGCTGTACTTCTTTCAACACATTGGTTTGTTCTGGCAGTCCATGGTACTTTCAATATTCTTCTCTAATACCATATCTCAAATACATTGATTTTCCCACATTATTACTTATTCATTGTCCAACTTTCACATGATTATGAGGCTATAGAAAATACCATGCCTTGGGTCAGGCCCATATGAGTCCTCAAACTGATACCTTTGCCCTTGAACACTATACAGAAGTCTTAGGCAACAGATTTGCCTAATGCAATACATTGTGTGATTTCTTGACTGCTGCTTCCATAAACATCAATTATAGATCCAAGCAAAATGAAGTCTCTGAAAATTTAAACCTTTTCTCTATTTTTCCCAATGTTATTTGCGGGAGTTCCTGCTCTCTGCGGGGGTCTCTGCCCTCTGCCTTCTCCCTCCTGCTCTCTGCTTCTTCTGCCACTTCTACTTCCTTCTGCCTCTACTGCCTGCTGCCACTTCTGCCTCTACTCCTGCTCTCTGCTTCTGCTTTCCTCCTTTCTCTGCCGCTCCTGCTTCTGCCTTCTCCCTCCTGCTCTCTGCTTCTTCTCTCTCTCTTTTCTCTGCTAGTTCCCTCTGCCTTCTGATAGTTCTGCCAGCCCAGCTCAGCAAGTCTTTATTTTTTATACTTAAAATTACACAATACATGCATTGACACTTTTATCTTTTCTTGAATTATTACACAGGCACAACATTCTTGCACCTGGTCATTAGACAACTTTAACAAGAATACTCTGTGATGTTCAGACTGACCTTCATGTTCTTTCCCAGTATGAGATAAAACTGTTTCTTCTTGTTTCTACTAAAAGACTATAAACTTTCTATCCTACATAATGTGCTATTATTTTCATAATAAAGGTATTCATTAAATCACTTGGAAGCTATGTGGCATAAAGCTCAACCTGGCTACTTGCTGCAAGAAGTGTAGATTATTAAGTCAAAACTGTCCTTCACTTAAGTTCATTATTGTCTGCTTATTTACGCAGGTGCCTGTATGTAGGGGTTTGTGAATTCTAGCTAGTGACTGACTGTGGTGAGGCCTATGGGGATAGGTCAGCTTGACTCTAATATGCTATTTGCTTTTGTGGCCTCACAAATGCAGTTACTTAGGTTTTCTAATGAACGGGAGTAATTTACATAATTTTTCTTTATATTCAATCCACCAAGGCTGAAAGCAATTGCTGCTAAGCTAGTTTTTCCTAAGGTTTGTAGAATTCATAGTGAAAGCTGTGAATATTGCCAAATTATATATTTTTATAAGTAAAATTAAGATTACTCTATAGAGAAGGTAGAAAGCAACTTCTGAGAGCTATCTGTTTTGCCAGACCACTCCACAATTTACTGGAACTGTGTCAAGCCGCAAATTGAAGCTGTCCTCTACCCTCATCGGCCCCCAGCAGTTATTGGTCCAGTTGTGAGGATTTTTGCTTTCTTTACATTAAGGTGCAATCCATACTGAAGAGTATAGTCTGTGATCATGATTAAGTATTGCAAGTCCTCTTCACTTCCAGCAAGCAAGGCTGTATTATCTGCATGTCACTTACTGTTATTGAGTCTTCCTCCGATGCCTCGATC